AAGGGTCAGTAAAAGACTGCCACTCCTGCTGGAGCATGTGTGTAGATTCCGATAATGCCCTAGTTCGCGCATGTTTATGCTCACCTCTAAACGGACATTACAAATTGTTGGCAGAGATGCAGTTACGTCCTTGACTGGATCGCGACTCTTAGTCTCTGTCTAAGGAAGAAATAGAGAAACGAACACCTGAGGTCGACAACAAGACTCCTCCTGAGGAAACCTGGCACAAAATACAGTTAACTATAAACACAGACGCAAAGCCGGTTAATATAATAAACCGAAAAGATAGTAGGAGCCATTGGATTACTACTACCTCATCTAAACTAACTGAAGTAAGAAGACTGATTTCGGCGATCTCCGAATACGATGAGGAACGAAAGCTGCTCAAACGCAAACTAACAAGAAGCCTTCGTAACGACCGTGAACAGCGGTGGGCAGGGAAAATATATTGCACTGATCTAGGCACTCTACTCGAACTCATCCAGCCAGCCAGGTAAGAGTCTACGAAGAGTTGTCATCTGCGGTAGTGACAACTGGTGATGTACATCAGGGATGCCAGCCCACTATTCCCATTTCAATTCAATTTCATCATAGATGTACTAATGGAATTAACCATAACTGCTGACTTCAGAGACTCAGGGATTGACTTGTTACCAAGGCATAGTCATGTTGACTTAGAATATACAGATGATATACTCCTTCTACGTGAAGACGCTGACAAAATGTCGAGTCTTCTGAACACCTTGAGCTGCAATCTTAGACAGATTGGCATACGATACGCTCCTGTCTAATGCAAGATGATGAGGCTACAGGACTGGACTAAATCAACTCACTCCTAGCTGAAAGATAGGTTGCGAGGTGGTAGAGTATGTTGACCACTTCACTTATTTGTGAAGTTGGAACAGGTTGATCTTTGACGAAATCTCAGCACGCATTGTAATATGCCAACTTACTCCATCGTTGACATAAGCGTGACTATCCGGCTATCGACCAAAAGTCGTGTGTACTGCTCAGCAATTCGCTCAGTCTTTCTTTATTGCTGTGACGGAGACATGGACATTGAAAGTGGAAGACACAAAAAGGCTGGCTAGCTGTCTTTGTTCACAAGTGTCTGCGTTCTATCTCCCACCCTGAATTAGTATAATAAGGTGAGCAATATTGACGTTAGACGTCGAGTGCTGGTCAAGGAGGAGAAGTCAATCAACAAGGTTGTGGTGTTACACCGATTGCGATGGTTACGACGTGTGTTACGCATACCTAGCCTAGCCATCGCCTTCCAAGAAAACAGGCAGTGTTATCTGACATAAGACCAGGTTGGAAAATTTTCAGTGGTGGTCAAACCGAAACATGGCGTCATCAGTCAATGAAATCCACAGTAGTTAGTTTAATACATTTACGTAGGAAGGTGTAGACTTCCTGCTTGGGGTCCTCAGGATGGTTAAAACCGGTGAAGGATATAGTCAGTTGGTGATATGTCTCAAAATGGTTCTCAATAGAGCAGTTGCATCTACTCCTTGTGACTTATAATACCCAATAAAACTATATTGTTCTTCGTTATTACTATTCTTTTCGCCTCATATCTCTGTTTATTAACTCTGTTTTGAATATCCTTTTACTTTCTTCTCTTGTTCTGCATGCTTAGTAAAGTGTGGTGACTTGAACTGCAGCACAATTTTACAAAATTCTACGTTGAAACCAGTCAGTTAATTAGTTAACAGACACATGTGAAATTCAAATAAATCCGCCTCATATTAAAGCGATGTTATCTTGAAGGACAACGAAAGGTTCACAATTCAATCGTCCATCTCAGGCAATGGAACCAAATAAAAATAACCTTATTTCCACACTATCTGCTAGAAAGTGGTACTCTTCGAAATTTCAGCACGAGACATTAGGAATTCTCTGTATAAAGTAGTCAAAATGACGTGCAGATTTAGAGAAACCAATTCATCCGACTCTACTTTAAACTAAATGACATTTAATCAAATAAACTTCAAAAGACTGAACACATCATGTTCCCCTACCCCCATCACATTGATGAAGGGAAGGCACTGCCCCTTTTTTGACAACTTTTCCATTACTTTAAATTAAATGAAACAGTTATCTACTTTGCAGAGCAACAAACATTCTTATTTATCAATGCACACTTCATATATCCTTCATTTTTCTGTCGTGATATGATAGACAAAAAGTTGTACAAAGAGATTCCATTTTTGTGGAATAACGTGAACAATTCGAGTCAAAATGGTGACAATCCAATGCGTAGCTTCATACTAGTGTCATAGTATTCACGTTACCGTATTTTTACATCTATCCTTTGCTTGTCAAAAGAATGCATCACATTTTCATTTATACGCAAATGACACAGTTGGCATTCTGTTTTTCTCTCGTTTTTAAATACATTTCATTTTCAGATTTCTGATACCTTGATAAAATCGGTACGAGTTTTGGGTGATTGTCTATAGCCATTGTAGATATCGTCTGTTATTGACTGCACGTATCTACATGGAAAGAAAAAATTAGTCCTGCATTTTTGTGTTAACCAGAAAACTGCTTAAAGAATAAACGTTGACAGAATGTTTAAATGTAGTTGTTGAGGTGAAAATTGATGACTGGGGTTGTCATTATTATTTTGACTGTTTCATATTTTTTCCGAGTTGCTTTCCAACCTAAGAGGAATTATAGAGGATTTTATACAGTTTGACTTCATAAATGTTTATACAACAAACTTTCGTTGATATTTATGAAGATATATTCACCAAGAAATAGGTCAATATTCCCAATATCTGTGTATTTGCAGGAGGAAAAGGTTGCGGTAGTTTTTTTTGTGATATAGATATTAATCATATTATATTATTATTCCCTTGGATTCACGATGTAACATAGGTTTTCAGTAACACAGCCTGGTTTCTTTTTGTTCTTTGCGCTTCTTTTTAGCTGACGCTACTACTGTCCTGTTCACGTGATCTTTTCTATTCCGCCAGTGGACATATGCCCAACTCGTTGTTTCCTATTCGTATTCAACTCAAGGACCTGTTAATATCCAATGCATCTCCATTTCTTTCACTATATGTTTCAGGCGATAGGTTTATAGTTGATCTACTGTCGGATTTATTTGTTGCTTATCTTTCCTGACTGTCTATTTGGTCTTCAGAATAGAGAGAAGAAAGCAACTGTTGATGAAAGCCTTCAGTCTGTAGGAAATGCTCTGCATGATGCTTACACTAAAGTTTGTGAACCAATAATGATTATTATTGTTCCCTAGGGTTCCTAGTGGAACATAGGGCTTCAACTGCACGTCTCCACTCGCTTCTGTCTTCTGATGTACTTTTCATCTCCATCCATGTTATTCCATACTGCTTCAGCTCCTCTTCACACGATCTCCTCCATGCCACCCTTGGACGTCTAACTCGCCACTTCCACTCCGGGTTCCACTCGAGCGTTGGCCTGACGCGCGATGTCACCCAGTAGCCTTCTCAGCGAGTGTCCAATCCATCTCCACTTTCTCCTGCATATTTGTTGAGCGATTGGTTCTCGTTTTGTTTGTTCCCATAGTTTCTTGTTGGTGATTCTTTCCGGCCATCTGATCTTCAGTATAGAGTAAAGACAGTTGTTGATAAAGATTTGCAACAGGCTGTTGGAAATATTCTTTGTGACCCGCCAAGTTTCTGGTCCGTATAGAAGAACTGACTTGACGTTTGTGTTGAAAATCCGAATTTTGTTGTTGATGCTGAGTGACGAAGATTTCCAGATTGGTTTCAGGCTGAGAACCATTAATGATACAGTCCTGAAATTTTTTTTTGTTATGTTGTTAACAGCAGATTTCCACGCTGATGTCAGACTAGTGAAGGTTTGTCCTGCATTGTTGATCTTCGTTCACTTTAAAAATTCCCATCCTTGCTATTTGTTGTCAGAAATGTGGTGCCCAGCCACGTTAGTGAGAAAAAGATGACTTTCTTTAGATTTCTCACACTGATGGTGATTTATTCTTTCTCTTGTTGACTGGTGGGTTATTTTTACTATCCGTCCCCTCTTTGTTCATTTAAGCCTTGTCTTTGCTTCCTTGTGGTCAAAATATCTTGTGTAAAATAATGCCACTGACTTGAATCCTGTATTGATTTGATATTGATATCAAAAATCCAATACTGGGGTGCAATATTTCATCAAAGAAAGTGAAATCATTCAGCGAACCACTGAAGACCAGAAGAGAACTGCTTACTGTTTCCCCATAGTTCAGGACTTTTCAGCAAAGTTCACCAATAAATCACAAGGGGATTGATAGTATGACCCTCAAGTCATCAGGTGACAATGTTACAATTTAGACACAAGAGGGGAATCCAGAAACTTATATATGGTGAACACTGGAAATTCAACCAACAGAACCCTTACAGATAAACACTTGAAAATTGATTCGCTCCTCAATAAAGACTAAATAGAAGGTGGATTTCTGGGAGTTTGAACGAGACGTTATAACCGGTGAGATGTATCAAGCCACATGTGAGAGCAGGTACTCGGTAATTGCATTGAATAACGACAGCGCTTATAACGCAAAGTGATAGATTGCATGGATCATAGGATTCTGTCCCACTGACTAAATGTCAGTGTAGCGCCTCTTAACCTGAAGCTTCTAAGCTACTGAAGGGTTGAAATCTAGGGAAAGACATCCATCTAATTATTGATGGTTTTCAGTTGTTCTCTTCAAATGATATTAATCCCTAATCAAACTAGAGACCAATCGAATCCCTATAAGCTAATACTTTATATGTAATTATGATAATAAAAACAAGTAAACAGAAATCAACTTCAGAGGAAATCATTCATATAATTATATTTGTAAATTATTGTAAATAACCAAAGGGAATTATCCATAGAAAAAGAAGAAGAAACCGTTTTACAATAATTTTTCCCTAAAAAGGTTTGCATAGAATTTTCTTATATATGTGTATATACAGATTACTGGTTTGACAAATCAACACATTCTGACAGAGTATCGGTCATTCCTTTGTTTATCAGTCATAAATATGCATGAGACGAAAGAGTGAATTGAAATCGTTCAGGATATAACTGAATGTGCGCAAAATCAGTGAATTTTCACTTTATACTGAAAGTTTTTATACCGAATGTCCATGGTCAAAATGTTTTTATCGTTCTGTGGGAAACAGGCTTGTTTTATTCATCCCGAATATATTGGTCCACGAGTTTCTTTTAAGTTTACATGGATATGGCATCTTCAGGAGTAACCAGGAGTTATGCATGATGAAGCCTTTCGACATTTCTGGGGAATATCTCCTGTAACATACAAAAAAGATACTTTATTTCATAATAATATGGAATGATCAAAAAGCACTTATAAAATGATTTATTTCCTGTGAAGGTCTTCAGTCTGTAGAGATTTAGTCGGATAGCAGACATTTTAAAAAATTTGCTTTCGTTGGCTTCCTATTGAAGATTAATTGGCTAGTTAGCAATAACGAATTAGCAACAGGGAACTCTGCAGTGGAACAAACCAACCAATAGCCAGTTGCTTAAAAAATATGTAGGAGAAAATTGAGATGGATCAGGTATACGTAGAGGAAAACATAAAATGACATTGCGCACAATGCAAGCATTCACTTGAGTGGAATCTCAATGGGAAGCGATGATTGGTTGGTCAATGGAAGAGTGAAATCGAGAGGATCGCTTGAGAAGGAGATGAGAGATTGCTCGGAATCAAGAGGCTAGCCAGATGAAGAGGACGGCAGAGAACGGAAGAAAGTGGAGATGTGTTGTTGAAGCACCTATGTTCCACTTGGAACCCAAGGGAATAATAGTAATGATTAGCTTCAACATGGGTGTAAGATCGATTCAGTTCCCATCCTTAAATCAAGTCAACCTGTCCCGGATCAGCCTAGCATTGTTGCAACGGAATTATCCATGCCTAACGTGTCTATCCCACCTTGTTTAATGAACTGTGTGTGTGTTTTTACTTCGATCTGTTTAGTCAGACAGTTAAACTCATGACCCAATCAGAGTATTTTTGTGAACTGTTATTTTGCTGCCCCATGTCTTACTTTGTATTATTCTGTTGAGTTTATCTAATTTATTGATTGGTTAAGTAGCCAATTAAATTCTATCTTTGTGCCTATGCTCTGTCTACTTCTTACTTGGGTTCATTCTTCTACTGACTGCTTACCTGAAAGATCATGTCTGATCCGGCTAGTTCACAACTTTTGCTTTAACGTTATTCCGCTCTGATAGCGGTACCTTCCTTTCTGTTAAGCATTGTGTTTTGTACTCTTGAAACCGTTAAGGTTTGTTATATATATAATTATTGATTTGTTTATTAATAGTACAGTAGAAACAGTGACCGGCTTCTTGTTTGTTCTGTACCGGGATAGCCTTTATCTACGCGTGATTTCATTTCAAGCGATATTGCGCTTACAATGGGTATTCTGAAGTTCTAAGATGAATTATTATAACCTTTGTTCCGTTATACTACCACTTACGAGTGCTTTTTTATCCTTCATAATGAACTCCTACTGTATCTCTCGATTCAAAAAGTAGCCACTCATGTCGACCATTTGTAACGTAACCTTTAAGTTGTGCGCGCCATTTAGTTTAATTCTGAATTGCGCTAAAACATATATACTGCTTCAATCTTTGTCTTTGTGAATTTACTGACAATTCTTCACTACATTTTTCTGACATAAATCACTGTATTTTAACAAGTTTAACAACCACTAATAACTATGAATGCGCTTTATTCAATATGCGCTCCACTGAATAAGGAAGTGAAGGTTGGTACTAAAGAGGACAAAAGACAATTCTGCGACACACTGGCTGGCAATTGAAGCAGAACAGGCAGGCCTCATGTAAATGAGACATTAGAACATTATATCAAATAATCAAGACTCTATCTTAGGAAAGATCAACACAGAAGAAGTCTATAAAAAATGTTCAAGAGAATCTAATTACCCAGGAGGAGAGACAAATCAAACGATGGGATGATCGATTCAAAAGACTCTTGAATCAACCATCACCTGCAACTCGAGCAGAAATAGACCACCAACAGCATGCACAGAACTGCCTGCCCATGAACAACAATCCTCCCGAGACGGCAGAAGGGCCAGACGGAATTCACCCTCCATGAATCACTGGAAACGGACACAGAGACTGAGGAAGATGTGCTCACGCCATTATTTTAAGGGGTTTGGAAAGGGGAAGAAGAAAGTCTACCTCGTCAAGCTGCCAAAGGAGGGCGACTTACGCCTCTACAAGAACTAGTGTGGAATCATGCTCTTATCCACGCCAAGTAAAATAATAATTTGCATCATCCTAGAGAGAATAAAGGGTTCATTGGAAACAGAACTCCACCAGCACACCAGAAAGGCGAATCACCTGCTGATCGAATTGCAACTCTACGCATCATCATTGAACAAATCATAGAATGGCAGTCACACCTCCATCTCAGGTTCATCAAATTCAAAAAGGTCTTCAGCAGACAACGTAATCCGAGACTTAGTTTGGAAACTGCTTCAACGATATGGCGTGCGTTGCCTAAGTCTTTATCAACCTCATTCAACAGACATATGACTATGTCATATGTCAGGTGACTCACAACGAAAAACTCAAAGAGGTGTTTGAAATGAACACAGGAGTAAGACAGGGTTGTCTATTATCACCGATGACATCCTTAGTTGTGGTGGACTGTTTTATGCGGAAGACTGTGCGTTGGGAGAAAGGAGACAGGAATATGCTGGACCACCAATAGGAAGACTCTAGAAGACCTGGATGTCGTGGAGGACACATGTCTGATTTCACACAAACTCGAAAACTTGCAAACGAAAACCAACAAAGTGGCTGAAGAGGCATGCTGGGAGATTAGGACTGTAGGTGAACACAGAGAGGATGGAGGTGATGAATATAACTAACCAACAGCAACAGCAGCCAGAGAGATGTAACAGAGGTAACCCCCACACTTATCTGAGAAGCATCGTTTCAACTACAAGTGAAATGGATGGGGATGTTAAAGCCAACCAGAATCGGAAACGCAAGATATGCCTTCATCAATATGAAACCCGTTGTGAAGTCTTCTGAACTAACTCAGAATAAAGAACAAAATTCAGATTTTCAACTCAAATTTTAATTAAGACAGTTCGTCTATGCAGGTCAGAAACTTAGAATGTGCATCGCAAAAATTATTTCCAATACTCTACAGACATTTATCAACAGCTACCTTCACTGCCTCCATATTGAAGATCAAATGGCCAGAAAAAACTAGTCCTATGTTCCACTCGGAACCCAAGGGAATAATAATATTGCCTACTCCATGTTTTATGATTTATGATTTAAGATATATATGTGGTAAGCAACAAGTCGACAGTAGAGGCAGTGAAGAATGATCTTCAAGTGAACATTGAGAAGAAAGAAGTGATGAAGATGCCTAACGACATTCAATGGAAGGAGTATAAATGAAGCCATATAGTTGTCTTAACTTAGCAACATCGTTTTAACTACAGCCGGCGCAAAGGTCGGTGGTTATTACTCTGAAATCAATATAGAAACCCACTGCACTCAGCTTAAGGAACAAGATTCATCACTAGTGAACAGGACTGGGATTTTTAACACTAATACCATTCTAAATGGTTACTTCTATATGGTTAATGGGAGCCGGCACCCTCATCAGCGAAAGCATTTTTTTAAAGGCTACAAACTTTCATCAACAGTTGCTTTCATTGTCTCAATACGGAAGGTCACATTATCAGAAACAACTAGCAGCAAAGAACTCTGGAAACCTCCCGTTCTAAGGTCTGTTGACCATTAAATATGTCAGAGGAAATGGAAATTGACTCAATATACCCTAAATACACTGCTGAGATACATCACGCTCTAGGCAGGCTCTCTATTGGAACCTGAATGGGGAATGAGAACTTCGACATCCAGAGTGACATGAAGAAGACGAAAACTTATGGGCAATAGTGGAGATAACTATGAAGGACTCCAGAGAACAGGATAAAATGGACACGTGTTGTTGAAGACCTATTTTCAACTCAGAACTAAATAGTGTAAAATAAAAAAACTATTATATGTTTTATTTAATATTGATTATCTCATCCTAAATTTCTTACGCACCAAGTTTATACTATTTCAGACTTCTAAACCAATTTATCTAACCAGCTTTTAGTGAAATGGCAGAAAGATATTGGCAATAAATCGGTAGAAATTGCAAGAAACTTCACTTACATGATTCTTTACTCTTGTGCTGTACAAATAATCACCCTAGTTTCATGACATATTCAATTATTCAAACGTGCTGGATAAGACTGGATTGGATTAACTGTCTGTTGCATTTCTGTATCAAAGTAATTTGAACATGCTTTATAAGGATATTTAAAATCTGTACAAATTGATTCATCGTGTGTTGTCGATATCACATTCATTGTGTCGTGATGAGATCGAGGAATGAAGATTTTAATTTTTCTGCTGCCTAGTGTATCATTATAATGATTCGTATCATTACTACTGATATTGTTATCAATACTATAATTACAATAATTAGTTCGGTTAATGTTACTGTTATTATTATTAGTAGTAGTATTACAATTATCTACTGAATAATTATTACGATTATCCATATATGTGAAGTAATCCGGGGAATTTCTTCGATCCATATGAAAATTTCGAGTATTCGGTGATGAGTAGATACTGCCATTTGGATAATTTAGCAGCTGTAAACTTGAATTGCCACCATTCGCCGAGAATTGCGATAAACAATCGGGAAGTGGTTGGATAACTACATAATGGTGTATTAGAAGGGAGAAAAAATAAAATAATTTTGGTTGAATTTCATATATGAAGTAAAGCAAAGATTGTTTCACTTGAGGTTCAGTTTTTTAAACATTATCACGTAGTAAAATTGGTGAACGTGGTTATACAGAAATGTAATCGACTCTCCTTAATTGGCTTGATGAACACACTCTAAAACTAGTGCGTAGTAACCTGTCAGGGCTAAATATGACATCCCGACACATGACGCTGAATGGTCCTTAGACATTAGCTGCTTTAGGTTTACAGATGCGTCTTGCAGACGAATACCGATAAGCACGAAACTAAGTTTCAGAGGTTCCTGCTGATTGCTCGCAGTCACTTCGTGTAAATTCAAAAAGCACTTCGACAGTACCCGGGGAATTCGACTAAACGTAGGAATACTTTTGCTCTGTCAGTAAATGCCTGATGTGTTGTGGATTACTGATATTCAGGCACACATGAGATCATTATCTCTCTCTCCTGTTGAAAACCTTGATTCTGTCTAAGAAACGGGGTGATTATTAACAGTTTGCTCTGTGATGATATTAGATGGTTGGAGACAATCGGCAGGAAGCCCCCTAGACCTAGGTTTCGTGCTATTGCACACCAGTCATCAAGGCCTATCTGCAACCTTGAAAGAACTCATGTCCCTTCTAACCCTCGTCACCCAGTGCTGCAGTGAGAGACGTTATCACTGTGATATACATTCATTTGAGTTATTCCTAGTCAGGCAAATTTAAGAAGGCTGCTTTACACTACTGATCGATACGTATATGGGGAGACCGCTTAGTGCTTACTAGCCAGGTCAAACTGCTAAAAGTTCTGCTTGCTTCTGTCGTTTAGAGCTCAGTTTATAATCCGTGTATACTGTAAGAACTTGCTAAAACAGATACATTATTTCACACAGCTTGAATTCTAAATTAACCACTTGGAAAACTAATAGTGGTGAATCGGTTACAGGATTTCATCATGAGCTGAGATTGGTTAGAGAACCATTGGAAAACCTGGGAGTACTGGACAGCTATTTCGTCCCACTAGTTTTGGACTCTTCAGCAGTACGCACCCACCGGGCTTCACAAACAAAAACAGAACAGTTCAAAGTGAAAATTCAACATAGTTCCCGTAGTAAACAAACATCGAAATGATTTTTTATCTGCTTGGTATCATTAAGGGCAAAGTAAAAAAGCAAACTCTGTAGAAAGATCTGGCTAGCAGATACTACTACTTTAGTTTGACCAGTAGTATGCGTCGTCTTTGCATATTTCACCCTCTATTGCTCATAATTTGCGCTATCACTGAGGTCATGTATTCTGACCTGAATGTTTCTGATGTCTAAAGAAAGCTGTGGTGAAACTTCGCTTGGAAGCGTATAAGTAGTCAATGAAGAATTTAATTCCGAAGTAATTTGTCAAGATGAACCTTAGAAAAGCTTGTCGATCGCACTTAACATTTCCTAATTATCCTTTTCTGCTTGTCCATAAAAATCATCACAGCGTCCAACTATCTTTATGATTCTGAGGTTTTCGAGCAAATTCTTTCACTTGACCATGTAATTTCATAACCATTGTTTCAAATCATGTTTATTCATATATTACAATACAAACTAGATCAATTGTTGGCACCAGAAGATGCGTCACACAAAACCTCATAGTTTTCGCAAAGACTGGGATATTGTCAGGCTGCCCAGACTGAAGTTATTGTTTGTCTTAAAAGGCTACTATCAAGGCTTCAGCTTTAAGTTTGGCCCATATGAGAATGGAGCAGCGTCTGGAGCTAGGTTTCCATGGTCTTTCGCAGCCATGCCTTCGGATTAAGAGTTTTCTGGCTACCCTAAGTAGATCTTGACTTCCATCAGTCCGGTCATAAGCTCCAGACATTCGTGATCAGCGTTTCAGTTTTGTGAGAAAGTTTCGAACCGCCAATCAAACCAAACAAGTTAGAAAGGCTGAAATAGAGTCAAAGAACTAATAGCCACAAATTCGTCACTAAAACACACAATTGTCAGTACAGAAAAAATAACACGCAAAAGAATATCTGTTACCGCTACCTCCGTATCCACCGGGAATTGTACCAAATTCATAACTGTTCAACTGATCCACTTTTTGCCAACTTAAAGGTGAATTGGTCATATTCGTTTCCCCATGATTAATATTGTTATTATTATTATTAATATTATTACTATTTCCATTCCTATCGATTGCAATAGGTACATGTCGAAAATTACGCTGTTGTTTATTTTTACGTAGAAAAACAAAGACGAAAGTTATCAGTACAGTTGATATAATACAAGCCGATGTAATAATTCCAACAATAATATAAAAATTCAGTGTATATCCGCTAGCACCAAAGTTGAAAAGCCCACTGAATCCGTTGAAATTATATGCATCCATATTTAGATAGGCTTTCGAAGCGGATTGATCAATTTCTATGATTAATTCAGCCATTGTAAAACGATATGGTTGTCCGCCATCTCTTGCTTCTATTCTCAGTGTATGTTCACCAATAGCTGAGTAGGATATCTCTTTGTTAACACTTAATACTCCAGAATGTTTGTTTAATTTGAAATAGCCTTCATTATTACCAGAATGAATGAAGTAGTTGATAGTACCATTTTCACCAGCGTCATCATCTACAGCTTGGATCTAAAATGAAAAAGAAGCATAACTTTGTGAAAAGAATTAACTAAAAATAGCATACATGTAACTTTCAAACCAAATGATCGTGTAAATTGTAACACTTTTCAGTTGTAGTTAGCTCGTGAAAACATATAGCCTTGGTACTCGCAGGTAATCCACAACGGAAAACTCAGAGAGGCATTCGAAGTAAACACAGTAGTAAGACAAGCTGGTTGCCTTTTTTCGCCAGGTATATTCTTAATTGTGATGGAGTGGATTATGAGAAGATAGGAACACGATAGAGCTATAAGAAGACTCTAGCAGATCTAAATTTCACACGTTGATGGTTTGTGTTTAATTTCATACAAACTCGAAGACTTGCAGGCGGAAACCAACGATCTGGATGAAAAAGAAGCCAGTGAAGACTCTAAGTAAATATACAGAAGGTGGACACGGAGGTGAAGAGAACCAAATGGAAGCAGGAACAATCAACATCAAACACCATCATTGGCAGAGATTTAACAGAAGTTACTCTTATTTTTTTTATTGCTAGCTTGATTCACAATTTGATACAAGTATGTGATTCAGCAGGAATCGTAGCATTCGCGACTACCTTCATTCATGTGGCTAGAAAGCACGGCTTCAACCGGAGGCAGTTGAAATGAAAGAAGACGTCAAAGCTGATCAGAATCGGCCTGCCAGAAAGAATGAGCAACAAGAAACACTGGCGAAAAACCAACTAAGAGCTGTTTGCTCATCAAATATATAGAAGAAAACGGAATTGGGTCTGGCACACTTTGAGGAGAACGTCGAATGAGATTGCGCGCAATGCAGGTGACATGGAGGAGATCATTTGGGGAGGAGGGGATGAGAAATTTTGGGCAATCGCGGACCCAGGTGAAGAGGACAGCATAAAACAAAGGAAAATGGAGATGTCTTGTTGAAGTCCTGTGTTCCACTTGGAACCCAAGGGAATATTAATAATAATTGGTGCTCTTAGATCAGCATTTTATATCATGAAATAAAAACTTTCATCAACAGTTAGTCTAATAAACGCTACAGAGATTCGCCTCTAAAATCCATTAAAGCACTCCTCATGTTTTTCCTAAAGTTTAAAAAATTTAACAACTTCAAATAAAATTCCAATGTCGACATTATTTACTAAGTCTCTTCCGCTACCAAAAATGTTTATTTGTAATTCCAGAAGTTCGTTTTCCTATGAAATTAGAAACATCTGCAATTCTTTTATCAGCACGCACAAATTCTCCTATTTCTATGACTGATCAGATGAATTTTTCGGGATCATTAGTGAGCCAAGATGTCCCCAATGACAGCCGAAAACAGCTCTCAAACCAGAGTCAACTGGGAGTTCAAAATGTCTTAGAGACTAAGTGGAATTGTCTTAACCGATTACACATAGTAATACCACATCATTGCTTGTGACATTCAGAAAGACGTTTAACTTATATCTCCCATGGAAAAAACTGGAGTAATCTTTGGAAAACATGACAAGAGTACCAATGTGGCCTATTATTTTTTTCTATTATTCCAGACTGTCATTAAAATGAATTATGGAGCTATGTGACAAAATGACAAAAAGATATTTAAAGTCTTACAGATGTTGGCAATATTCCGAGGTCAACGTTATGCTCTCACATTTTTGGAAGCGGTAACATGAAGTTAGAAGAAACTATTACCTACGCATAGGTAGTTACCCTTGAAGTGGCAGCTGACAGGCGCAAAAGTGAAAAATTTTCTGGGACTTATGTTCTCATCATAATTTCATCACCGTCCAATCAAACTAGAATCCCTACAAAACTAATACTTGAAAATGCTGAATTCCCCCCGATAATTCACACTAAGTTTATAAGCAGACAGTGAAAATCGAGTGTCATTCTATGATGACGAAACTATAGTCTCTCAACATTCCTTAAAATCCGAACTTTAGAAGTACGAATAAAATAACAAATCAAAAAATATTTGATTGCATGCAGGATTTCATCGTGAGCTAACATCAGTTAGAGAACCATTGGAAAACCTGAGAGTACTGGACAGGGGTTTCGTCCTTGTTTGGGACTCTTCATCAGTACGCAACCACGGGGGTTCGAACCCAGGAGCTTCTGGTTACAAGGCGAGCTCGTAGACCACTGAGGCACTGGGACCCGATCCAATGGTCCTTGAATTCTAACTTCCACCAATTCACAACAGAGTGCGACGATTTCGCAGTGTCTTCTTCGATCAGTTACTGCCTCATCTTCAACCTACCGTAACCCACTGTTCTACGAGCTCGCCTTGTAACCAAAAGCTCCTGGGTTCGAACCCCGGTGGTTGCGTACTGATGAAGAGTCCCAAACTAGGACGAAACAGCTGTCCAGTAATCCCAGGTTTTCCAATGGTTCTCTAACTGATGTCAGCTCATGATGCAATCCTCCATGCAATCAAACAAAATCCCTACAAATCCAATACTCAAAAACATTCATTTACTCATAACATTCTTATATCCTAAGTCGAGTAAACAGTGGACAGAACGCAAATGCTGATGTAGTGACCCAGTCAGTCGTTAAATACTTTGACTGATCACTAGTTGGTGACTAGTATTATGTGTCTAGTCTCTTGTTTGAGTGAATCCTCTTGGTCTAGTTTCCAACGTGGCCACCATGCTTGGTGG